AGTGTAGAGCGACATTTTTCGGAATATTTCTCCCTCAAAACTGAACGACACATAAACATATCATGAAGTGTCGGGAAAACAGTATTTCCATAGACAGTCGACATAGCTCTATCAAATGTAGCACTAAGTTTTTTTCCATGAGCAACTTTATTTATTTCGATTTTTTTTCTCAAACGGTACAATGATTGTGCTCTTCGCTTGTATACGTTGTTTAAAAATACAGCCTGAAATGCAAATTATTCAGTTAGTTTACCGTTTAAATTTATTGACTTACCTTAGAAGAATGTTCTGTTCTTTTATCGTTTCTCTTTCTTTTTTTTTTCGAAAATAAATAGTTCGGTTGCAACCCCACACCTGTTAAAATTAGTAATATACTTAAGTAAAACTCATTATGAGAAGAATTGATTCTTTGTGCTGTTAATAAATTCATGTTTACACATGCATATATTATATATATATGAAAATGAATTCAATCAAAACATATTTAATTTGTCACCAGCATCCATATAGAAGAAGTCAAGATCTAACATTGTGGTTTATACTATCTGGATTTGAAAAAACACAAAATGTTCTCTGTTCGGTAAGATACGAATGTTTGTATGATCAATGTTTATTTGTATTCGCATTATATTATTGCTGTTACAGCCTTGAAAATCAAATTCAAAATTGTTTATATGGAACGTCGTCGAAGAATGCTTTATACAAAATTGTGACTAAGGATAGAGATGATCTTTATCTTACTGTATGATGTTCTAGACAATTTTCTTGTTATATACATAAAATGAAATATTTCAATTATTAGATGTGTGGTTTTTTCTGTAATGTATTCATCGAAGCCTTATACAAACATCGAAATGAATTCTATTCACATCCATACACATTATGGTCGGATAGTAATGCAATTAATAGAGATCATGGTGTGGAATTCAGTAATGTCACTAACAGGTAGTATTTTCTTACAATTGATTCAGTTATCATTAGTCTATTTCGTATATTATTATATATTTTAGTACTCCATTAACTTTATATCTCAGCCTCAATCCATTACGAGATTTTGGTAGAGAAGATATCAAACGTTATTATGATTCGGTTGATATGCATTTAAAAGAAAAAAATACACCACTAATAGGTATAAAAAGCTTTTGTTAGAGAGTAATAAGCTTTAATTTTGTGAAGCTGATAATTTTAGATTTTCATGAAGTTTATCTTCGTATGACATACTCTGATGCCAATAACAAAAAAGAAGAAGTTTGTCCAAATGCAATTGTAAGTTCTGAAGAATGCGAATCAACATGAGCATGATAAATTTTTTGTTCTGTTATAGATATTACCCACATTCATTCTGAATGAATGGAATTTAGAAAACACATGTTTTCTTTTCAGGTAAATGACATATAAGGGTGAGAATTTAAATGAATTTGTATTTAACTTCTATTATTGCAGATATACTACAGATAAAAGAAGCGCAGTAATACCAGGAAATGTCCGTGTAAGTAAGACGCATGCAGTACATGCTTCATTTTCAATACATAACGAGAGATGTATATAAACGAAACACATAGCCATTGTGCTCGTCACATAATCAGATGTAATAAATTTTGTAGGTACCTTTATTACTTATCGCAGCTAGTTTCAGATAGCATTAGTGTTGACAGGAAAATAGTTTTTCTGACACATGCTTTCATTTTTCATAAAATAACGTTATTTTGCTAAATAGAGCCAAAATATACCTCAGGCTGATGCAATTTAACAAATGTGAAAAGATTATGAAAAATATTTATCATACACAAATAGAGACATTTCGACGGGGCAATCTCATGAAACTGATCATAGTTTGTTTGGATGAGTTTTAAAGACTTAGATAGCCCGTCAACTGTCTTAATAAGAGGTGAACACGATGCAGTTCTCAAATGGCCATTTACCCATAAGGTCACATTTTGTTTATTCGATCAATAGCGACAAAATCGACATGTCGTTGGTTCTTTTATACCTGATCTAACTTTGAATAGTTTTCAAAGCTCGGTAACTTAAATGAATATTGCAAGTGGTAGAGTTCATTTTGATCAGAAATATTTGCTCTACAATTTAGTTGCTTTAGAGCTACGTTTTCTCTCGATTTTGTTATGATAACACACAGTTAGTGAAAAAGACAGTTTTTCAGCGCTTTCGGAAAATATCCGAAAAACTTGCAGAAACTCTCGATGAAGGTCGTACTGTCATAAATTCTGACAGTAGGCACCTGGGATTATCTAATAATGTGCATATATATCTTAGTTAAATGTTGGTAATTGCCATAATATTCCCTCGTACGATATTAAAATCTGCGTGGTTACAAATACTATTCCAACAAAAATGGAAAATTGTTCACTGGAATGGCTGAGAAAGGTATTAGTAATGTATCACACTTAGTATTGTAGTATTCAAAAAGTATAGTACGTTTCCTTTTTCAGATAGTTGACAATGAAATCGGACAACATGTAACACTTGAGAACAATGATGTGTCTCAAAGCAATGATGTATCTGAGAACAATGATAACAATAATGAAACGTTATTTAATTTGAGTCATTTAACAGGAATCATTTTTGCGAGCATAAAAAATCCAAATATACCTTTTAGGTAAAAATCGAGTAAAAAAAGTACATCTATTCATTTAAGACGTTTATAAGTCTATTCTTGAAGTTTTGATGGAAAAATTAGCAATAATATAACCGATATCAAAACAAGAACATCGCCAATAATTGTTGATAATCGAGAGGAAGGCATTATGTAAGTATAAGTTCGATGTATGCTTTACTTAACTGTTCTAAATGCTATATACTATTATATTTTGGTTAGAAATAATGCAGTATCAATAATACGGCTTTCTAGAAAAAGAGATTATAAACCAACGTTCGAATTACGACAAAAACATATTGAATTTTTACCATTTCCATTAGGCACTAATTGTATGGTGGTTAACGAGAATACTCGAAAGGGTAATATAACTATTTTGTTTACTAATTTAGTATACCTGTTTGTTTTTCTTAAGGACGTAACATTCAGTTAAATCTTAATCCACACGATAATAATACATTTTGCCAACGACATGTCAGACTATATATAGCAGCTGAAATAAATGGACGTTTAATTTGTGAAAACATATCCTCTCCGATTAGAGATAGTAGTGCGTATATACCTTCATTAAAAAAAATAACACTAATCGGTTTCTTGTATTTAGAAAATTTTCGTTTTCCACAAATGATATTATTACCAGATACTAACGAATTAATTGCTGGACAAAATGCTTATATATGTACAAAACATCAATTAAAAAAAGCAAATTTGTATATAAAATTTCAAAATTCTCTATATATTATTCTTTTACTTTTTTGTATTTTAGTTGGGGAACACAAAATGCTCATTATGTTGTAGAAATTTTGTTTAAAAAAACTACAAATCGAAACAATATTCCTATTTTCAACAATAATGATCAACAATGTGCACCTGCCGTTTTAGATGACACTTTTCAAGTATATATAATACGTTTATTCGATATATTTTGGCAATAGTTACATTTATACGTTCTATAATAATATAGAATCTTTTACGATTTATTGTACCATCATCACCAAATCATGATAGTCAGCGGATTGTTTCTGTTTGTTTGAGACTTTCTGGATCAAATGATTATAATCCAAGCAAACCAATTCAAATTGGCAAGCAGCGCATATACAAGTGTGAACATTCGAATAGTACGTACAATAATGTTTCAGTTCATATATTTATGCTTTTGTTGTTCTTATTATCTAGTTAATCGAACAGCACACCAATTAAACTTACAAAATACAACAACTAATGCTACATTCGCATCTCAGTCAGTTCTTTCCAACTATGAACAGAATTTATTGTCACAGAGTATGTAAAATAATTAAAATTTTAACTTTTTATTCCGTTTGTGCATTATGGCTTTATTTGAGTAAAGGTAGTTTCTATACTCAACCAAATTCCCAAGAGATACCCATAAATTGCACAAATGATACGCACGAAGTGGTGAATATTATTAATCAGAGTCCTGTAAGAGCATCAACAACGACACAGTCAAAACAAAATCGTTCCAACAAACGTCGAATTATTGCAAAGAGTATGTGTTAAAAACAAAACTCCTTTTTTCGAATCAATATAACTTTGTTTTGAGTTCTGTTTAGGAAAAACAACGCAACATCAACATACGACCACAGATCAAACAACTACCTTTATGCCAATCAATAATGCTCCTTGGCAATCTCAACCAACGCTGACTATTGATTATGATGCTTCTTATCGTACTTGCCAACAAACAGCATTGTTCGATTGGAATAACACTAATCGTATGCGTGAAAAAGATGAATTTTAAAATTTAATAGTAGAGAACATATTTTTCACTGTTTCTAGTATGGATCAGTGAAATGGCTGATGTACAAAATTCAGTAAGTTTGTTTTGTATTGTCCTTTTATTTATTTGTACGAATCAGAAAATTTTTATTGCTCTTTTGGTTCTATATTTGTTCTTTATGTGTATGTAGGCGAATACTGATTTTGGCGGATTATTATATACTCGAAACAGATTATCTTCAACAATAGATCAAACTTATCAAATAAACGAAGCAAGTATAAACAGACATACGTCCACTGATATGTGAAACTGTTTATTTCATGTTTTCATTAATATATTGTCTATTACTTTTTTTAGCAATATCAGCAACCTTTACCAGTTTATCTAACTTCAAGAATAACAAATTATCCGAGTAATGTTGGTCACCAAGCGATATTAACATCTCCGACGCTACACACAAATAACATCCTAGTTCCACCACCAATAGAAAATACCTCAAATTATCGATCTATAAGTATACTATAGTCATTAAGTTATAGATAGATGATTAACGAAAAACGTTAATTTCTTTCCAGTCCAGCACTAGTACGGATAATGCAGAATTCAATTCTTTTCTTTCTGAACAGCCGTTTATAAATGTAAGTATGATTTTCACAACAAATATTATCTCTTGTTTATTTATTTTTTGACCCTAACTATATATTATAAATTATAGAGATACACATCAGACTGGGAACCACCTCGTGATTTGAACACACCATCGATCAATGAAAAAAACTTATAAGCATGACAATAATATAGAATCAACTGGATATAATTTCACCGTAATTTATTCTGTCATTCAACGACAACAATCATCACTTTTTAGATTATTGTTTATATGACTTCCGTCCGCTCTTCTATTTTTTCTGAAGATGCATCTGCGTACGAATCCATCTTCATACATCTTAACATTACGGATAAAATTAGAAGAAATCTCAATAAATTTAAGATGTTTGTTCAACATATTTCAAGTTTACGTGGTATGCTAAACAAGACAGAAAAGATAGCATACACGAACACTATAAACACTAAAAAAGAAAAGGATTCCGTATCTAACTAATAATGCTATATATGGCATACCATGTCAATATAGTACTTATATAGGAGAAACAATAAATTTAGTTGGGGCACAGCCCTATGCGATTCGAGCCTTGGCCCAATATGATTTGAACTTTGTGGCTTCTCGAGCTAAAAATTTGAAAAATGGGTTTTGTGGCCTAGCCTCGTCTCGAATTATCCCAGTGTGGCCCAATGAGTTTTTTTGAATTACAGTTGGGGTAAAAAACTCTACGCTAGTGGTCCTTTTATCCCGCAAGAATAGTAGGAAGATCAAGAATATACTAGAAATAATTTACATGGCTTTTGAGGAACATTTGAAACATTTAAATGGGTCGTATGTGCTGTTGAGGCAGGAAGACCATTCTACCACTTAGAGGTGGGGAGCTAGGAAGAAGAAGATGAAGCTTTTGTGGAAAAATGTATAGTAATAAACTGTCTGTCAGAGGACGGCACAAAACGTAAAGTTCAAAACGACATCATCCCTCAAACTACAAAACTCCTGAACCTCAAATTCACAACGTTCAAGCTAGAATTCTGAATTCGGCACTGAACTAATCCCGTAGATCCATTAGTGTGGACAAAGTGTCTAAAGATGAATTGACGAATAGCAATTTTTGGGCGTAAAAATGATGCAACAATTCGCATTTTACCATTGTTTTGCGAATTCATAATTCAATGCGAACTGATGCGAACTAACAAAAAATCATCAAAAACGAACCGAAAAATTGTCTCTTTTCTTCCTTTTGCCAATTCGTAAATTTGGACGAATTCGTTAGAAAGAAATTTTCGGTACCTACGAATTCGTAAATAGAATTGGTCGACTATCGACGAATTCGTGAAATGATCATTTTGGTCCCCAAGAATTCGTGTACGAATTCGTAAATTGGCAAAAAATTCGATAAAATGCGAATTTACCAATTCATAGATGCCAAAGCATAACCGACGAATTCGTAAATAGAATTCGTAAAATACGAATTGATTAATTGAATGAACTAATCAAAAAATGTGACAATAGACTATTAATACACATATCTGTGCGAAACAAAACAGAGGAGAATCTCTCTCCCTTTTGTATGCATGTGCCGCGCGGTGGGGGGGGGGGGGGGGGGGGGGGGGGTGGGGTGGGGTTGTTTTTTTAACAAAAAGGCCGTTTTAAACAATTTTTTAATAATAACGGCGATTTTTTTTTTAAATTTTGGCAATC